TGTGATTCTTTACTCTACAGCTCTTCCTGGTCACAGATATGCTTATAGAGATAGCATAGATTTAAAATTGAGTACAAATGCATTCAAAATTTACATTTTTTTTAAATTTAAATTTTCTAACGCGTTTGAACGCGTTAAAAGTTAACACATCTAAACGCGTTCACTTCTAACGCGTTTCTACCACAAAAATGGTGCAAAACCGACGCGTTCAAACGCGTTAGGAACTAACGCACATAACGCGTTTTTGTAGCAGAAAATGACGCCATGGGTCGATTGAAAATCCAAGTAGTTCATAATTGCAACAGCAAAACCTAGGGCAACTTCTTTATCAGTCTTTTCGAATTCACCGATTATGTTTAATTCAGTGAATGTTTAGATCGATATAGGAGCAAGTAAATATCTAAGAACAAATACTTGTGATTCAAAGGCAAGTTTACGTGACTTAGAACGCGAAAAGAAACGAATAATGCCGAAATTCTGTGTGCCAGTAAATCGACAAACACCTTGAAAAGAAAACTCACAATTCTTTAGATGCACACCTCCGACTTTTCCCACGATACCGCGATAGATGACTGTCAACTGATAAAGCAGCCGTCTGGTCATCAGAGCTATACTGTAAAACGTTCTAAAAAGAACGTTATTTAAATTATTAGTATTCCTCTGATATAGCCAAGAAAGCTGCACGTTTCATTCATGCAATGACGAATTCGGTGGATGTTTAAGATTGCATTTCACGATGACTGAAGCACATTCATAGAAATAGAAATTATAATTACGTGTTATGAGAAACCGAGCACATGTCAAGGAGAATGTACGGTTTTCCTTTCTTCTTCAATTAAACACCTATTGCTTAGTGCGTGTAAGAACAAGAGAAAGAAAAATGCTTTTCATTTTTGTTCTTCTTGCACTATGTTGTACCGAGATTCATTGCTGCTCAACCAATGGCGAATATCGTCCAAACCTATCCAACGCTAACACGTATTATGTTTGTGCAAATGGTGGATTGGTATTGATGTCGTGTCCGTTAACTTTAATTTGGAATCAACAAAAAAGAATATGTGACTGGCCTTGTACGTGCATTTCAATTTCATAACGTAGATTAACAAAGATTTTCTGTATAAAGTTATCGTCTGTCAGAGAGCACCCTAGTGCAAGTATTAGTACGAACTTTAGTACTCATCGTTGGTAATGTAACGAGTACTAATAGAAAATGGTTAGTATTTTTGTACTAACATTAGTAATTTACTAACTTTAGTACTAAAGCTGTAGTTTTTTTTGTCATTTTTTAGTACTACCGTTAGTATTTTTAGTTTTTTTACTAAATATATTATATTATGAAAACTAATGGTAGTATTAATATGCGACTTCTGAGTGGCTGGTGCGGTTTTGCTAAAAACTCTCAGATATCAACATGAAGCATACGAATGAGGCCAAATAGCGCTACTTCCAACGTTAGATTATCACTTTGAAGCCGGAGCTCCACTCACCTTACAAATTTCATTTAGATTTTGAGTATTCTGCTTAAGGGGGAATCCTGATCCGCTTGACGGCTCTGACTTGCGTCTGGCAGAAAATTTGAGTAAATCAGAGGCAAGACTTGGCTACCCAGTAGAGCTTAATCTAAAATAAGTTAAAAATTCTAAATAAATGAAGTATAAAACTGATTATTAAAAACGGAAAAAGATCGAAAAAGAAGATGATATTTCTTCTATATTTCGATTGTGCTTATATACTCGGCTGACCGCAAAACAAAACGGTGAGTGATCAGTTGTAACCCGTTAGTACTAATTTTAGTAATCACTGGAAAAAATTTTAGTAATTCTTTGTTATGGTACTAACAGTAGTACTAAATTAGTACTAAATGAATTTACATACTAAAGAATTTTCGTTAGTACTAACTTTCGGTGCTCATCGGAAAAATCTTCAGTATTTAGTACTAACCGTATGATTACTTTCACTAGGGCACTAGGACTTTCTGAGCCTGTCTTCATATCTCTAATGTACCGCAGCTATCCACGTCAAACTCATTCGATAAGCCAAGTCATCTTCAAAAAGATTTTTGATGATTCTATTTTTATATCTGAAACTTACTCGATATTGAGATTAATATGTTCTGGTGAAAGGGAAGAAACAAATTTTAATACCACGAACTTGAGCAATCGACTAAGAGGCACAGACAAACACTTTGCACCTCGCTCTAAAATTTGAATGATAGGCAGCTTTGTGATTCACGAACACATGAAATTACAAGTTTCTCTGTGTCATTAAACTTCAACGTATATTTTCAGCTGCTGACCTCGATACGATGATGACAACCACAAGTGAACCCCTAGCACAAGGTAAAAGCTGCTCCTACTTTATAATGGATGAACCAAACTTTTCAGTCTTGCAAGTTTAGAAACTTGAAGAACCATCTATGTATCTTCTATGTTACTAGATGAGGGAACAGTGTTGACCTTCGATGATATTAAAGATGAATGGCTTAGAAGAAATTCAATGCCACCTGGCTACGGTAACTTGACATGGGAGTCTATCGGTCCCGTCCTTGCCACAGACCCAAAATTTGCAAACAAATCCGGTTATTACACGGCGTTGACTAGTGGTGAAATCGTCACTTTTAATCAAGTACCAACAACCTACATCAAATCGTCATTGAAAGAACAGCATTTTCAACTGAAATCATTTTATGCCGCCTCCGTACGACATATAGATTTACAACTGACAATCAGTGGTCATGCGAACTATACACGATACCCTCTGTTCAATGAAACATTTGTGCTGCAACCGACAGAAAAGTCGTTTATTCAATTGAATGATACCACAAACGCGTTTGTCGACAAAATTATGTTCCGATGTGATGGAGGCCGAGAATACAAACCATTTTCCAATGGGGGTGCACAACAATTTTCAATGGATAATATCAGAATTAAATTCAAATTAACGTGACTACTGAAAAAATGGCTATAATGAAAAACAGTTGAATGTTTTTTGTATTGCAGCATTTTCTATTATTCTATTAAGGTTTTTAGACGAATATTTTTCTGAGTTTAATTATATGATCAGCTAACAGTCTGGTCATCAGAGCTATACTGTAAAACGTTCTAAAAAGAACGTTATTTAAATTATTAGTATTCCTCTGATATAGCCAAGAAAGCTGCACGTTTCATTCATGCAATGACGAATTCGGTGGATGTTTAAGATTGCATTTCACGATGACTGAAGCACATTCATAGAAATAGAAATTATAATTACGTGTTATGAGAAACCGAGCACATGTCAAGGAGAATGTACGGTTTTCCTTTCTTCTTCAATTAAACATCTATTGCTTAGTGCGTGTAAGAACAAGAGAAAGAAAAATGTTTTTTAATTTAGTTCTTCTTGCACTACTTTGTACCGAAATACCGGTTAAGAAAATTGGCTTATTTCGAGGCCATTTTATTTGGGTTTGTGCAGAATTCCGCGATGAATTTTTGGAGATATCTCGCAGTTTTCGTATGTCTTGCAGAAGTTTTGATTGTTGCACGTTTTAATCGGGTTTGTTCAAATGTTCCTGTACAATCTTTAACAGCAACAACAGAAGCAAATAAAAGCATTTCAAAAATCGAAGCTTTTCATTTTCATAATCCAAAGCACTTGTTAGCTCATCTAATAACAAGATTCTGGGGCTGTGAATCAAACCACGAGCAATTGCAATATGTTGCTTTTCACCACCGGACAATTGTGAGCCATGCTGACCGGCATTAGTTTCATAGTCCTACATTTTGAAATAAAGTGCGCAATTATTATTTTGAGTAATGTGCAGTTTCTCCGTCTCGGATTTTCGCCGGACAAAGATTTTTGTGGAATCGAGATTTTCGCTGGATTTACCATGAAAATCGCATACGGCGTAAATCCTCGGGGTACTTCTACCGTATTATTTAAAAAGGGTTATGAAACATAAAACGTAACTCGAATTAAATGTATTTTTCCAATAACTAGAATGTATTATGTGAATCACTAAAGTTTTATTAAAAAGAATAGTTATAGGTCCCGGTGAGGAAGAATTTGTTGAAAGCTTGACGAAGCACGGGACGATGAAGAAGAACTGCACGAGGCGATCCCCACGGAGAGCAGTTTTTGCTTGATAGCGAAAGACGAAATGGAGACACGGTTGCATAGGCGTTTGTGAATATTTTTTGCTTCGAAAATATAACTCGCTTTGAGTTTTGAGTAGCAAGATAACTCGATTTTCTAGACCGGCCTGCGAAGATCCTAGTCCATCACCCACCTCTAATACACAGCCATTTGCTCTCATTCTCTGCTTTCGTTGTTTCTAGAAATCTAATCAACGCATGCTCCTCGAAATATAGATAGGATAGAAGAGAAAATAAACAACCGCAAAAAGTAAGAAAAAAAGAATTGTTTAGAAAAGTCTTGTGCTTCATTTCACAAGACAAGAAATAAACACAATAAATTTAAAACTTTAGAATCACCGCATACTTAAATGCAGAGAAGCAGAAATATAAATCGGTCAGCTTTGTAGCAGTCAGTCATCAGTACCGATTGGATCGGTAACGGTAACCGACCAGAACCGGTAACCGGTTACACCGGTAGTAGTTAACCGGTTGTCAACTGTTACCGTTGCATCCCTAATCCAAATAGATATCCGATTCGTAACCAGCACTATCGAATTGCTATAACGGGCTTGCTTTCATGCTAAAAGCAATTGAACAGTTGGAGACCTTTCCTCGTTAGAGAATGGATTGTTACCGCTTTTTCTCTAGCAGAGTTTTAGTCCATTTAAACTGGAATAAAAATGCAGAAATGCGTTTTTAGTCTCGTATGGAACTGAATTGCTGAAGAAACAAAAACGGTGTACAATTCGTTTTTCATTATTGCAAAATCGACTGTTTATACGCTAAACAGATTCGGTCAAAAATTTTTTTCTAAATAGCTAATTGAATGAATGTACGGACAGCAAAGTATCTCTTTATTAAAGAGAAAACTGTATTTGAAATATTTACCTAAAAAGTAAAAGGATAGATATTCCATATTTGATACGGCTCTACTGAAACGAAGAGAAAGAAAGGTATGTTATGCGTAAGCGATAAAACATTTTACGTGCTATGTCTGTAATAAAAAAGTCTTTCTTTCTTGTCACCTGTAACAAACAAACAGGGTAGAAAGCAGCAACAGAGAGCACCCTTTCTTTCGCTAAAATGTTCTTGTTAGTCACATGTAATATTTTATTGTTCTTTTTGTTCTGTTGACACTTCACTTATCGTTCGTTTTCTGTTAATTGTCCCGACGAACATCATTCACTTATGTAGCGTGTGTTTCTTCATTCTGCGCACTAGACGGTACAGCCCCCACAGTAGAAAAATAGACTAAATACACATAGACACACATATCTTGTTCTCTTGGCTTGTCTTCGAAACATTTTTTATGCGCTTATTGTGCTATTTTTCACTCAATTGTCGCTGAAATAATGAAGATTCATGTCCTATTACAAGAGCGGTAGATAATAACACAGAATTTTCCCTTGAAAGTTTGTCTGTTACATATATGTCATCATCATGTTCTCATTCTGTTTTACTTGCTTTTACTTTTTCATATAAAGATGAATGCGGTCGACATGGTCAGAGGTGGGTAAGTGAGAGGTTCTGCACGTCAAGTCAATAATAACATTTCCAAACTAAGTCAGGTCTGATTAAAAGTTAGGCAGAACAAAGAATTTATGAGCGCCTTTTGAGTGAGAGACAAATTTTACAGTTTCGGAAGCTCTGTTCATGGGGAAAAAATACCTGATTTAAACAACATGACTTGACCTGATAATTTTTTCAAGTCCAGTCAGGGTCACGAAAAACAGTCTCTCAAAGCAAGTCAAGTCACACTCCAAAACTTTTTCGGCAAAAAATCAGACTTTGCTTACCCAGCTCTGGGCGTGGTGTAAAAAGACTGTGTTACGTCTGCCCTTCACATAAATTCTAAACATGGTTGTTCTGTTCAAGATGGCTTTGGCCAACGGTCTCCGTATTATCTGGCTGGATAAACATATCGGCAGCCCGGCAAACTGTCAGGATCTCAAGAACAAATTTCGATCCGATACGGAGGCAGCTGCCGCCGTCCCACCCAATTCTATGGACGAGCTCATTTGCGCCTTGACCACTCATGCCGCTCCGATCGAGTTTACGGACACATTAGAAGACGCATTGGCTCTTGTCGACTACCATAAAGACAAACGCATCATCTTCATCTCGTCAGCATCACTTGGAAAAGACATTATTCCCAAGATCACTGCTAATCATGTCCATGTTCATTCCTTTTATATCTTCTGTGGTCAAATCAAACACTGTTTGGATTGGGCCATGGACTATTTGGACTGCTTGCAAATGTTCGACTTTGAGATCGATCTGCTCGTGCGACTCGCACGTGATATATCCAAAGATATTATTAACCAAGGAAAGATGTATATGATGGACCTGCAAGATCCGACTAGCGCACTCAGATACTTTGAAAGCGCTCGCACCCTGGAAGAACGAGCAAATGCTCGGGATACGTTGAATCATCCATTTCATGAACATCTCAAAATGCTTAATGGTGAACAAAATAAAACTGGACTCATTGCACAAGCGCGCGAAATGCAACAACAGCAACTCGCGAATGTAGGTGCGACAACGGTCTGCTAATGCAACAGAAGCTACGATCGAACCATTGTTTCCTGGTGCAACAGGATCCAGTTGTGTCCCACCGTCGTCTCTTGGAACATCTAATGGATCTGAATATGACATAATGATTGAATAGAGTACTAGTTAACAACTTGAAAGAACAGTATTATAATTGAGAAGTGAAAAAAAGTTGAATGTAATAATGAATGAAAAAGCTGTTTATATAGAACTAAAGGTCTCTTCATACCTGACGTCTTCTCTGTTTCTTTTCCCATTTCATTCATTATACATTCTTTATACCTCATTGTTCTGTCGTTATTGTGCCTGCGTATAATATATTTTTTCTAAACACATTTCTAATTTCGACTAGCCTAATCCCAAACCAATACAAGTTAACTTATAATTCTATATCTCATGATAGACAATTTCTAGCTAAAATTTATAGTTTTTGCCTAGTGAAACCTAAAATTTTAATTTTGGCTTAAGAATGCTAGTCAGATTCTAAATTTGGCTGAATTTTAAGTTTGGCTACAACATAATATTAAAATAACATCATTATTGTCTTATTGTATATTCAATCAAATAACAAACTACAATCAAAGAATAAGCGTGGCTAAAATGAACACTTGCATTTATATATATACCCACAGGGAGAGAGAGAGATGATGAAAGAATGAAGAGAAATGGAATATATAAACAACGATTACAACGGGAACAATATGAAAAGTGTAATAGAATCTGATTACTATATAGAATAGAATCTGATGGGGATATAGAAGAAGAGAGAGAGAAAATACATGAAAACGACGATATGCGTCATCTTGAACAAAAGAGCAAAATAGAATATAAATATTCGTCCGCTCAACTACAGACAGAAAGAAATGACAAATAGTAACCCAACGACGCGAAAGGGAATGTGAAGAAAGCTAGGCATTGACATTCGGTCAATAGAAATAGTGCAATCCTGATATTTCAGATCACGTCGCTTTTTGTCATATCTTAACTTCATCTGGTTTTGACTATGAAGAATAGACCCTTTGGCGAGAATTTCAAGATCTTTAATATATGTTTTCATTAATTAAAATCACGACTGACCTCTAGATGTCCTTCTAACTGTCTCCAACCATCACCATCAGCTTCTCCGCCGAAAATTCTACCTTGTATCATATTGCCTAAATCTATGAAAAATAATTCAAATCGTTTCTAATCAGCTTGTCAATTCAGAAAAATCAGTTCTTCATTTGACGTTGAGAGTCTTGTCGGTTTGCCAACTGCTGTTCCTGTTGAAGTGCAATCGCTCGATGAAGTTTTGTTAGAAGGAATAACTTTACTCAAGCTAGTAAATATTTATCTCCGAGGTTCTGCTCTTAACGCTAGACTGCAAAACCAAATGTGTAACTAATAAAAAGTTTCCTTAACGGTGGGCAAAGGAAAAATCTCCTCAAGATTTTGTCTCGAATTAGACACGATCTTGCTATAATCTTGACTCGATCCCGCCACACTGTTGAAACACAAATGAAATGGGATTGCACAACGAAATTGATCAAGAACGCGATTACAATTGTAAGATCGCGATTTTATTTTGCCAAGATCAGCATTTTCTCGTTACACGGAAAAAATCAAGTTCGCTATTAGATCTCAGCAACAATGGAACAGAAATACCACTAGGGTATACTCAAGATATAAACGTAAGTTGCGGTTTTGGTTAATCAAGCCCATCAAATATTTTTTCCACATAAAAAAATAACTTTTATCTAAACTATAATTTCTAGCAACTTTTTCATCCCATCTACCTAAAGTTACCTCGAATGATCTCCGTAGATTCGATGATCTAAGTTAATTTTTTTTTACATAGAGTTAGAATTTCTTACTAATGTAAGAGCTCAAACGACATGGGGCTGTCCCTGCGATCCAAAATTAACTTGATAAAAAAAATTGATGTATTATCTTTATTTGCACAACCATTCCATGCTTTTTTTATCAACATCAACACTTTTTTCTTCAAAATGTTTTGAAAAAGTAACTGTTTTAAATTTTAACCGAAGATAAACGTCGTAAGAATACATGAAGCTCTTCACTCTCAAGTGAATTTAGTTATTATTGCAAAAATGATTCTTCATATTCTTGTTCTTGTTTGGTCTCTGTTAACTGGCCTCAGCCAACAGGCAATAATGCATCGTTGCCTCACGGATTGTACAATCACATTGAGCTTTGATCAAGTTTTGAATATACCATCAAAATATAAACATGTAGATTCGTATATTTGCGATTTCGAAATGAGTATTTGCCATTCGAATAGATCAATAACAATTGATTTTAACTCTAAAATTGATTCAAAACACGTAGGTCCGTTTGAAGGTCACTATATTCAAGATGGAAAATTTTTGGAAGTAAAAGATAAATACGTTGTTGAAACAATCTATTATAGATGTTATTCGGATGACGTTTGTAATTATGAATATGCTGTAAAAACAATTGATGAAAGGAAGAAACACAAATATGATGATGTACAAATGTGATCAAAATTATTGTCATTATTATACGATGCGTTTGATTCCTCTCCAACAAAGCGTCTTGAATGTTATGATAGAAATAATGTAGAACTGTGCACACCACTCGAAAATGTTTGTGAACTGTTAATGGATCATAATACAAATGAAATAGAGGAAAAGGGATGTAATAGGAAATACGGTATTGCTGCTTCTGTTGTGATAGTCACCGGGGCAAATCATCCTCCGACACCAATGATTCCAACGTTATCCCAAACACACATCATTTGCAACAAGATACTTTGTAATGAAGACAAAACGATGAATGATGTTAAAAAAATATTGAGAGAATACAATATTGTTCTTGGTTCAAATTCTGAACGTAATGTGGCCCATCTTAGTTGGAATAGTTTTGCTCTGTCACTCTTAGTTCTCTACTTTCTATAAATCTAAACATATTTTTACAGTGTCTACATTTTTTTTAAATAAAAAAGCCTTGACTACTTTGAACATTCATCCACCGTTGAGTATTTGATTTTGCAAATATGTTGTAGCCAAAATTGTTCTTTTGATTCTCGAATTACATTCTTATTCTCTGGTAATTATGGAGTTCTATAAAAAGTTGTAAAAAAGAAAATATGCAGAGCTTAGCAGCTTTGAACAAATCTAGCTGTGTAGCAAAAGTCAAATTGCAGATTTTCAAGATTTCAGTTCCCTGATCATGGCTACTGTCGATTTTTGAGTTGCTATGTCTGAAACGATGAGTAAACTCGGTATCTGGTGTCAGCAGATCTCTGGAAGGCTTTCATAAATTTTTCGGGTTGATGTTCATCATAATTTGCTGGTGTTTGTTCTACAGAAATTTTATTACAATCTTTATTCGATCCTATATACCAACCCAACTCAATGGCGTAATTTTTGAGCATTGGGTCAACTCTCATTAAGATAAAGTAAAGGCATGGATGACGTTACAAAAATCTGAGAAAGTACCGGACCAGTTTTTCCAAACTTTAGCTATAAGAAAATCATAAGTTTTGAAATTTTGATTGAATCATCGCTCAATCTCCTCACATAGTTACGCCGTTGAAAAGGAAGAAAAAAGAATGAATGATGTATTTTTGTTTGTTGTTACAAAAATACATGATTCTATCCCAATCTCAAGGAAAAGAAAATAGAACCTCACACTATATTTATATTCAGTATTCCAAAATAGGCTGCATTGATGTATTGAGAAAAGAGTCTTGGGTCGTGATCAAAATTAGCTAACAAAGGAGCAATGCTGTATGGGGGGTCCGAAAAACTTTTTCGCTTTTGTCCATAGACAATGCTCGATCTTATTTCGAAATCTGTCTTAAAACCGTTCTCTTGCCTCTTACACCTTGAAATTGCACTTGTACTTTAGGATGGTGGGCTTCGAGTACTTTTCGATCACTTTTGTTCTTATGCTCCGTTTTTACATTCGAGGCACCTTACCTGAGACACATCAGCTGGATGTTTATTTTCTCTGGGGTAGTACTTCTCTCTTCTCTCAGGGATGCTTCACGTCCACTTCAGAAGGCGGTGAGCAATGCGGCTGAGGACAGGGAAGAGTCCTTACAGGTAAAAGCGACCAACTATATGAAGAATGAAACACCAAATACGAGACTTCCAAGGCAAGTGAAAACTGCTGCTACGACTACACCCAAGAAGACTGTACCACTCAAAGGGGCTTGTCAACCAGCCAGTGCTCTGTCCAACATCCAAGTTTCCGGTAAATAGGGTCTGTTTCCGCAGATGGGTAAAAAGCGCATTTTTTTCACGGAGTTCCTTTTCCTCTCATTGATTCATTACAGAAGCCGCATCGTACGTAGTAAAATGCTGAATATTACCTAGGATCATACGAGGCACACCCTAATATTTAGCTTTTCGAGGCAGACCCAAAATAATTTAGCTTTTTCTACAAAATCATACAAATGCATTGCAGTCAAAGTCGAAAGTCTTTAAGATGAATGATCCACTTGTTCATTGCCTTCTCCCACTCTCTTTGGGTGGGGACTACCGTGATACAACGCAACCTCTGTCATCTTGCATTATTGAAGCACGAACAACAGTTTCACATCATCTAATTTACAGTAACTAACTAGTAAATAGATCGAAAACTCTAGCTTTCTAACGGACCTGAATGCAACCTCCTATCCTATCACATGAAACCTTTTCCGATCGAATTCGAACTCAGGGTCCCCAAAATAAAGTGTTTCTCGACGGTGCATCGAAAGACCGACGGACGGGCTTAAAAGAAGTGACCGGACTGGAAGCAGTGTCGTATGCTCCAACGACATGTACGAAAGTAGAGTCGAAAAAAGAACTCAGTCGAACGAGTCGAGACCACCGGTGTCTGTGCGGTAAATACCTTCGAACTACGTATGAACCCACTTGAACGTGGTTCAAAGACGTAGTTGGTTCTTGACCGAGTACTTCGATCTCACAGAGGTACAATTGATAGGGAAATAGCCTAACGTCGGTTATAAAAGGCTCTGTACTACTGCTGATGGGACGTTCATCATTCATATAATATAATTCAAAAGATCACGTTCGACGAATAAAAGAGAGACGTAACGGCCTACTTCTCGTCCGTTGACGAGCACTTTTGTATAGTCATAATGGCTGGTGGATACCATGGTGACTTGAATCCATCCACGCGGCATCAACTCCACTTCCACGGTTTGCTCGGGTGCACACTTACAACTACCAGGATCACAAAAGAGACGTACGTCAAATTGTGATGAGTGAACGGAATGATTTAAATTTTCGAGTTCATTTTCGTAATTTATGTTTTCAAATTTTTTCTTCTTTCTTCTCTTATTAGAATGGAGATTATTATATGAATCTTCACTGTCATAGCTGAACGCGCTCTCATAGCCACCGGGAATAATCATATCGAACGAAAGGCGTATTCGAAGACCAATGCAGAGTTTAGCAATAGAAAGAAGAAAAAACCTCTGTGAAAAGAAATCTAAAAAAAAGAGACATTCACAAAAGAAGTGTCTGCAACTGCGCTCGCCAACTTTTTTTCGGTCAAGATATGCCTTCATTAGATTGCTATTTCATGAAAACTTCACCATTTGAAAAAATATGAGCTTGTGCCTCCATATTTTACATAGAAAAAGAACTGTCTCTGGCGACAGCGAGAAGTACTTTAAATGAAGTGCAGATTATTCCATCGAGGTATCCCATCTACTAAAGAAAGTAGTCTGGAGAAAAGCGAAATATAATATCACACAAACAGTCTCTTTTAACGTGATCAG